AAAAAATTATTTATTTATTTATTTTTAAATTGAAACATTAAAAATTATTTTATGAGTTTCAATGATTTTAAATAAAAAAGAATTAAAAAATTAAATTCTCATTTTGATTTCAAGTGTTTCTTAAATTTTAATTAGTAAATTAATATAAAAATATATATTTTATTTAAAAAAGATATTATATATTAAAAAATATGTTGAGAGTTATTTAAAAAATGTACATATATTTATAAAAGTTATATACATATATAGAGGATCTTCTTTTGTACGGAGAAATGAAAAAAACACATAAAAAATTTGTCTCCTAGACAGAAAAACACATAAAACCATGAGGCTTTGTTCCTGTACATCAAAGACAGCTGGATGTACCTACGACTGCAAAGGTTCTCTCAACACAGCTGATATCTGCCTTCCCTACCCCTATTCTTCAGCTCAACTCAGGAAAGAAGTCTTGGAAACCGGTTTAGACAGTCTTTTGACTGCTGGTTTCTTTTTGTGTTTGTACGTGCATATTCTCCTTTAGTTTTTGACAAGAGACTTAGAGACTTTGAATGACATTGTGGCCTTGTGTTAAATAAGTAAACCACCTTAAAAAAAAAAGGAAAAAGCTAAGCAGGAGGCAGCTGCTGGATGAGATCAGAGGCTAACAATTGCTTCTTTCTCCACCCAATGGGCCTTTGGCATTATATCAGGACATTGGTTGCTTCCAGCCCGATATACATAGACACTCCTTTTAAGCCCACACGAAGCAAACAGTTTCCTCTGACCTTTTCATTTTATCAAAAAATTAATTATATATCTTTTCATTTATAATTTTTTTTACTCTTTACGAATAAGGATTACCATGCGTTTTGATTCCTTCTGCATTTTCACTGACCCCAGCAGCTCGTTTACATGAATGCTGCCTACTGCTGCTAAACAAGTAATGAACAATAAAGTACATTGAAAATAAAGTTCCATACATTACATATATGAACATATTATATATTGATATATATATATATATATATATGTATGATATATGTCAATCTAAAGCAACTTAGCAAAGGAAGGCGAATTCAAATGGGCTAGAGTTAGAATAAGGGGATGAACAACAAAAAGAAAGAGATATGGAAAGACGTCAATCTATGTAGATGGCTTCTGGCTTTTTTTTTTTTTGTAACTCATAAAGGGTACAGAATTGAGCCTCAAAAGAACAACAATTAGCAGCGAACAAGCCTTTTTGTTGTCAGAACTCGAAAAGAAGCTTTCCAAAGAGTTTCGTGCGAGAGGTCTGTAGACGTGTCACCAATGTCAAGCTACCATCGTTGGTTGGGCTTGGAAGTATGTAAACAATTCCTTCATGGACAATATTTGCGGGCCTCATAAGAATAGGACGACCCCATCCGAAATCAGCTTCACGGATAGGCAACCATATCCAACTATTAATAACAAGGTTCGGGCACCGCATAGTATGTGGCCCTCGCCTGATAGCTTCTATGTCAGGAGCTCTTTCTATGAAGTCAATTGCAGATCTCAGATATTCATCATCCATTTCTTTCAATATTTTATGAATTCTCTTGACGGTATCTATGAATGATTCTGATAGAAGCTCACCAGCTAGAGCAACGAGTGCAGCCATGAAGATTACATTGCCAATGTAGCCAGGTGGGAGGGGGGGATGCAATCTGTTCCGTCCATCAACTGGGATGTTTAACTTGAGTTGCTGATCCTCTAAGAGGTCTCTAGCTTTGGTTGCGCAACGCCATATATGTGCAGTTAAGATACTGTAGGTGCTATATTTTGTATTACTATTTGAATTTTCATTTACTTTGGCTTTGAGGGCATTTAGCTTATCGACTGTGATCGTAAAGACAGATACAATTGATGGCTTGGGACTTGGTTGGGATTGTGAAGTTGAAAACATAGTTTGTAAAGAAGGAGATGGTTCAAATTCAACATGACGAAATTTTGGAGTTGGTGGGTTTCGAGCTCGAAGAAGGGTACGATCCAGGAACGGAACAATGTTAGGGGACAACCCTCGTACTGTGTTGGCCCAGCTATTAATGAAATGAAGTCCAGATGAACCATCTGCCATCGTGTGTTGAGTAGAAACTCCAAGAGAAATTCCCCCACATTTGAAAGTAGTTACCTACCAATAATTGCAAGATTCATATGCAATTGTTCTTGTCAAATACATGGCTTATAAAAGCAATTCAGGAAAAAGGAAATTCATAAGCAATTTTCATTAAAAAAAAATGTGTCTTTATCATTTCTAGTACAAACTTTTGAACTAGAAAACTAAGCACACAACCTAAAGAGCAGAGTTTAATTGATAAATGTATCAATTTTAAGAAATTTATTTTAATTTTGAAATATATTAAGTTGAGGTATATTGCTTCTCTTATATGTAAGATTCATATTTTCTAACAGCAACCTGTAGAGGAACATAATGAATTATGACAAAATATAAT